CTTTTACTTTATTTAAAAGAATCCTTAAGAAATATGCTTCACCTAGTTTAGGTGAAACTGAATGAATTCTACCGATGGCTTTTCCTACTTTCCTTCGCTTCCAAAACCGACCATTTAATATCCAAACAAACTTTGTAGGGAATTCAACATATGTGAGTTTTCGTGCTTCACTGTCGATTGCATTACACTCCATCCAAGCTGTGAACTTTGAAGCGGCAACAGAAGGTTTGTCAAGAACATCATCAATATCATCATCTTCGCCATATACAATCTGTTGTTGATTAGGAAGATGAAAAGGTAGTCTAACAACAGAAGGATATCTGCAATGAACATCATATCTAAAAATTCGCCATGATGCTTCACATGCTGATAAATATCTACAATCGTAATATTCAGCTATTTCATCGACCGCATCATTATTTTCACATTCATTGTTGGTTGGTACAACAGCAACTGTAGCTCTATCAGGACCCTTATTTATGTATTTAAACAAATACTTTATAGAAGATCCCTGATTGCACCATTCAATATTAATATGTGCCTGATATCTTTTCAATAGATATTTGTTGTATGGAACAACATTTCTATTATCCAACCTTACACCTGATTTTTCTACAAAATGACCATCGTTTCTTCGCCTATATAACGGAAAACCATTCTGATCAACAGACGAATGATTAATGAATTGTTTTGGAAAGTTTTTAGAGCACTTTTTATCCACCATGCATGGACAATTCATATTTTCAGCTCCACATGGACCATGAATCATAAACTCATTTACAAGTGAATACAATTCAGGATCTTCAATTCTGTCTGGTATCTCTGCTGAAATTATTGGATCGATAAGTTCAACAGTTGGTAGCTTGTTGTCAGAATGCATGAATAGACATATATGACTATGCGGCAAACCTCTTTTTTGAAATTCAATGGTATAAACATCTGTAAAAGAATTTGACAAAAAAATAAAAGAGAATGTGATTAGATATCAAAACATATTTAAAATATAATAATAAGATCAATGTTTTATAAAAAAAATAAAAATATAGTTTTAATTACATGCTTGAACTTTGCCGAAAATTTGATTCTCCCTTAAGTCTTTAATGAATGCATCAAGCTTGATCTTAAACAACCTACATAGTATATCAGGTCTGTCTTCTGGTTGAAGTGAAGTATCCTTAAGAAACCTTTTAATCTCAGGCCATTTGGGATTACACGTAAAGGTTATGAAGAAATCAGGATATCCAAACCATTTACATAGTGACATGGCATCCAAATAGTTTTGCAGCATATAGCGTGCACCTCCGGTAAAGGATGAAGGTAATATGACACGTTGGCCGACATTCGAGATATCAGTCGTTCCTTGAGCTTTTTGGTTACGTAAATTTTCATAAGAATCACATCTAAGAACATGTTGTTGCCTACGTATGTAGTACATTCTCTCCGTTTCCATCATAGTATAGGCATCTACCAGAAATTGTTGAAACAACCTTCTTGAATTAAGTATGAGAGAGAACGAATGATCTCTGTCTTGAATCCTATAAGCGAAATATTCTCTCATTGTACATTTCGCACGCTTGCTGTTGGTCGTAAATGACACACCTCTATGAAGAATGTCAACACTATAACCATCATCCCCATATGGAAATAGCAATGGATATTGGAGAGGAAGGTACGAAGGATGCAATTCACTGATACGTTGTAGACAACCATTTTTTGTTTGAACGACGATATCCCTCTTTTCGATTGAATCCGAAATGTCACCAATTATTAAAGCAGCAACCTCAGAAGCAGTCGGTAGGTTATATGTTCTTCCATCTTGCTCCCTTCTCCCGATAAGTCGTAATTTCATATCAACTTCTGGATTTTTTTGAAAAGTATCTCTTACCATTCTATAAGATCTAACCAAGACATTATTTGAATCCAACATCACCTTAATATCTTTAACAATATCACTATCAGTTGATGTTGATTGATCTTTTTCACCACTAAAATAAATAAATTTATACATAATATTAGTAATATATACATAATATATATATATATATATATATATATATATATAATATAATATATATATAATAGATTATGAATAAGAAGTTTGAGAAAATACCGAAAACATCTTTGTCTATTTGTAATTTCGTTGTCAGTGTCATAAATGTATAACTGAGAGAATTTTGGTTCCGATCCTTTTGCTGGCAAAAGACTTCCAATACTATGATAATTTTGACCACCCAATCTGAAAATGTAAGGAGCGTTTCCTCTATTGATTGAAGAGTCAATTTTACCACCCATCGACGTGAAAGAAAACATTGAATTGTAACGTCGAATGTTTTTCATGAAGTGTTTGCTTTTTGAATCCATATTTCGAAACATTCTTTCATAAGTAGGGGGTGCATTCTTTAAGTCTGGAAGTTGAACTTTGCCGTAACCACAACATAATGAATAATCCGTGTTCCCATTTTCTTTACCTCTAATGGATTCATTTCTCCATAACTTTGCACGACATGTTTGACATACAACATCTTGATCACCATGATCCAAATATTCTGTAAAATAAAAGCGTTGAATAAAATATCAATGAATTTTATAATTATATAGAACATAGTATCTGAAATGTAAAATGGATTTTATTTTTTCATTACCATTTGAGATACCAACTATACGATTTTCATTGTTCACTTGATGTATATTTTCTACATCTTCTGTCAAATCAATCAATGGGATAGGGGATAAATGTCTTGTCTTCGTTTTTAATTTATGACATCCTGGATTTAACTTGATTGATGATGAAGAAGTTGTTACTGTAGATGCATTTTTTGATGTCATATCATTTGAAAGTACATGGTACTGTCTTTTCTTTGCTAACTTGGAAGTGATATATTTATCGAAACCAATGTTATCTGAATAAAATAAAAATAAAATAGTTAACTAAATAAATAAATATTTACATAATGGATAATAGTATATTTTAAAAACCATAAATAATTACCATTCGTAATGTTAGATAACGGATTTATAACATTTGTAATGTTAGAAAATGGAGTTCTAACATCTGTAAAGGAAGGACAGTATTGTATGGTTGTGTTATGCTTTGCAGGTGTTGTAAATGAATTGACATTTTGAGTTTGACGAACAATGTTGGTTGATTGATCTGCAAATAGAAATAACTTATAAAACTTGTAAATATATGTATTCAACTATATAACAGTAAAAGATGGAATATAAAATACTAATACGGTTATAGTTAATGGTTTTTTTGAAGAGATGCTGTAATGATATACTTGGAACGTTTGGTATTGTTTTTATTTTCTTCGATCTTTTATTTTCCAAATATATTTTTCTTTGTCTTCTTTTCTCTTTGGCCTGCATGTGGTACATGTTACTGTTGTTTTCTGCATAAGAAGACATAGGTTAGGAAATGAAATGTGAAATTATGTACATAATATGTTTATATAATACAATTGAAGTTAGTTAGAATTAAATAAATAATGATAATAAAGTAAATGTATTTAAAAAGTTACCTTTATTAATTTGTTTATTAAAATGTTAGCATCATGACTCATCATCCTCATTTCCAACCTAGGGTTTATTCGATTTAAATCTACTGTTTCCCCAATTTCAACCAATCGTGGGTTCGGATGATATCAGGGGTTAAAACCCTAGATCTCATGGAATCAATGAAGGTAAAATTGTGTGATACACGATAATCGTGATGATTATAAATTGCTTATTGATCTTATGTATCTATTCAAGATTATTTTTTACAATTAGAAAAACATCTATTCCAGCATATTGATTATTGTTGTAAATTTCAACCATAAATTCATAGAGAAAACAAAGTGATCTAAACTGATAATACTAACCTGACATATGGATATGGAAATCTTGCAGGTAGAACTGGAATGAGGATTACAACTTTAATGAAGCAGTTTGATGTAAGCTTAATGAAAAAAAAATCGCAGAAACAATTGAACATTAAGAAGACGAATGAGGTGTTTCAAAATTTTGGATTTCACGTTTTGAGTTAAAGTTATATGCTTGAATATTGGAAAAAGATTACGATTATATGATTTTATTGTTGTTGGATCTTTATTAGATATAATTTTCTTCCTGATTTTTTGGAATTTAAAAGATTACAACTAAAAATTAGTTTAATATTCAAATTTCATCTAAAAAAGGAGTATAGAATATTAGGAAATAGTTGGTTGAATATAGGTTATTTACAGAAGATAAGTAAATATGCTGCAACCATTACAAAAATGTATGAATTAATTTTAGAGAATCAAAGATATAAATTTTGTTTACAATTGGTTATTGATTATTTATTAAAAATAACATATTTATCGTGACAAAAATAATAGTTATTCTAAATAATAGACATAAATGTTCCATGTTTAAAATAATCAACATAAAGATGCGAAGGTGATTATGGTTAATATTCATTATTGGAGTCAAATGCAGTTCACGTGTAAAAGCAAAAATGTTCGCATTTGGTAATACAAATCAAAATTGGGTTTCGCATATGAGGTTGTATGGATTGGGGTTAAAGATGCGAAGGTGATTATGGTTAATATTCATTTCGTATTTGGTGAGACAAACAACTCAAATGCGAATGAACTAAAAAAAAAATGACTGGAACATGCGAAGAAAGAGGGTGAATGAAGAATGTGAATTTTACAGTAGAATGCGAATTGGGGAAGAAAGCTAAGAATTTCGCATTTTTATTATACAAATTGATTGATTGATTGATTTGTCTTAATTGTTAATTGCGATATATGAAATACTTATCAAGTTAGGGGCAATATATTTTATTTGAGTTATAACCAAAATCAACTAACTTGTCCAATTTAAAACAATAAAAGTATCCAAAAATATTCAAAACCAATAATATTTGACATCCTAAATACCCCAAAATAAAAATCATACCAAGCAATTAAAATATCTTTATAACCAAAACAAATGATCAAAATATATTAAATGTGTCTTATAACCGATAGAACTCACTTTTCAATTTTTGGAATCAAGAGTGGAGTTTCCTCTGCGGTTGACTTTCTTTTAGCCTTAGTTGAACTTAAATCATATCCAGAATCAACATCATAAATTTCTTGGAGGTTGCGCTTCAAATCACCTGATATTTTGCAAGGACTTGTTGCGGTTGACTTATCAACTGTTGAGGGTGTAAAACTTTCGTCTGTTTGTGAGATCACATCCTAATTTAAAAAAAAATGTTTGATTCCTAAAAAAAATAACTAATATAATTAAAAGTTTATAAAATAAAATGAAAAACCTTTTGAACAGGCTGTACAACATCATCGGATTCCAAAGCAACTTGATTTAAGGCGACAGATTGATTACTCTAAAAAATAAAATGGAAATATGTTAATCGTTATGTACTTTAACATTAAAGAATTGTAAATTTTCAACAATAAAAAATTACATACCATAAGTTCTATTTTACTTTCCAATTCACAAACAATGGACATATCTTCTGTAACTCTGAGAACTGTGTAGATGTTATTATAGTTGTTGACATTGTATTCTGTAATATCTACAACAAAACCAAACTTGCGGTTTTTCAACACATTAAGTTGCATTGGAAATAGGGCATCACTGTCTCCGGCCTGTAAGATATATTTTAATAAATTAAAAAAATTAAGTAAATGTTTTCTGATTTTAAAGGTATGAATAATATACCGCATCATGTATCTTTTTCAACTCGTAGGCACTTATATTTAACAACCTCCTTGCTTCCCTATCAAAAAGAGTCAATCCAATGGTTCCAGTACAATCTTGTACGTTAATTGGAATTATATACCTAAAACAAAAAATAATTATGTCATTGTTAGTGTTGTTTTAAGATTGACAAAATTAATAGAAATAAATATGTCTATACTTTATAACTGACTGAAATTCAGATTTTTTGCATTGTGCATTTGTACACTCGACAACCATAGTTTCGAAATTCCCTCAGGGTTGGTATACGAATGATTGGTTTTGGGAACAGGGATAACTTTTTTTCCACATTTTTTGCATGCTTCATAATACCATGGTAGATTCTGCCTTATATTAACAATGGAAGCAACTAATAAAAACTTCATTTCCTGTATCATATAAAATGTAAAAATTATTAAAATAAATTATGCAAAAATAAAATGTAAAACATATAAAATAATGCAATATACCTTAATTGGTTCGGTGATCTCACAGATTGTTTTTAATGGAAAATTGCCCTTAAAGTCATCTGTATATGAAGAAGAGTAGCTTTGAAGTGTAGTTATGCTTTTTTCAGTTATACCGAAATTGTCATGACATTTCAACCTGTAATGTTTAATTTAGATTCATGAATATTAGGTTTTGTGTTTTTTTTAAGTTAAAATACATTATAAAAAAATAAAAAACAATTGGAAACTAACTTATTTTTAAACTCATTTATTTCATAAATGTCAGAATTTATGAACAATTTCGTTACTTCAAAATGACTTTTAGCTTCACCAAGACCTGTAAAAAATGTATATCCAATTATTAAAATTTATATAAAAACAGTAATTATAAACATCTATATATAAAGACTGAATACAAACCATTCCAAATGTTTAGCTTCAAAAACTGCATCACGATAACAACAAAATTAACAGTCGGGTTATTTTTTAGGTATTCTGAAATTTGATATGCTTGACTTCCAAAAATAGTAACCTTCAGATGTACAGAACTAAATAAACCATAAAATAGTATATTAATATTAATTTGTGATTAATTAAAGATAATAAATAATAAATAAATAATACAATATAATCTCACTCTAGGTTGCTAAGAGTGACTTTTATATAATGCTTGGATGGTACTGGATTTGAAGTTTCAAGAGGCCTAAATGACACGATATGTCCAATAACATCTACACAACAGATACCACAAAAAAATAAAAGTTTAGGATTAAATTCGTAATATTTAAATAATAAAATGTATAACCAAAAAAACAAATGATAAAAAATGATTTTATTAATATTTTATGACTAACCAAAGAATGTGTCTTTTGGGCATGTTTGTTCTATGATAGAATTAAAGTCAACAAACATAAATCCATTGACCGGACCCGAGAAATCATCACATTTTTTTAGGATGCTTTTCCAATCCAAAGTTAAGGTCTGTTTATGACCTGTATAACTAAAACCATTAGTAACAGCAGCCATATTGGGTTTTATAACTATATAACTTTCATCTTCCTTTAAAAGATGACGAAATCTGGAGAAATTCTGATTGAAGACACGAGCTTGGTATTGTGTACCCTGTTTAAAAAAAAATTAAAAATTATTATGTTCATGAAACATGTCTAATATTGAATGATGAATAAAAAATATATCAAATACAACAAACCTCCTCATCCATGATGATCATTTCAATGGAACAAACTTTATTATTTCTGACAAAGTTCCAAATTTTAAGCACCCGAACCTTGATATGCGATTTTTCATCTATCTGGTCAATGTTATTTAGGTAAACCTTATTTCCTATTTCCATTTTCTGCAATAAATTTAATCATTATAGAATTGTAAGGAAAATTAGCAACCTTTTAAATTAACAGCAAATCAAAGTAAATGAAACAGCAAAACAAAAAAAAACATATTGTAATAGTTAAAGCTTTGAGGTTGTATGGATTGGGGTTAAAGATGTTCGCATATTGGAGTCAAATGCAGTTCACGTGTAAAAGCAAAAATGTTCGCATTTGGTAATACAAATCAAAATTGGGTTTCGCATATGAGGTTGTATGGATTGGGGTTAAAGATGCGAAGGTGATTATGGTTAATATTCATTTCGTATTTGGTGAGACAAACAACTCAAATGCGAATGAACTAAAAAAAAATGACTGGAACATGCGAAGAAAGAGGGTGAATGAAGAATGTGAATTTTACAGTAGAATGCGAATTGGGGAAGAAAGCTAAGAATTTCGCATTTTTATTATACAAATTGATTGATTGATTGATTTGTCTTAATTGTTAATTGCGATATATGAAATACTTATCAAGTTAGGGGCAATATGGTCATTTTGAAGTAAAAGAAGCCTTGGTTATTAAATGAATCATACGAAGGATCTGTTATTTGATTTTGGAATTGGGGCGAAAATTAGCAACCTTTTAAATTAACAGCAAATCAAAGTAAATGAAACAGCAAAACAAAAAAAAACATATTGTAATAGTTAAAGCTTTGAAGAACAGTTTTTTTTAAAGAAAATAAAGTTCTCATTTTTATTACTAATTTCGTATTTTGTAATCATTTTCATTAACATTTACGTCTTTTAAACTGAAAAGGTAGAAGAAGAACATGATTAAGAAGAATTAGCAAAAGGAAGAAGAAGAACATCACTAATAAAATGAAAAATGATAGAAACTGGTAAATCAGACAATTAAGAGGTTAGAAATATTAGTAATGCTGATATTTTAATACACTAACCTGATATTATAATTTTTGAAGCGTTGCAGAATCAAGAAGAATGAAGAAGAATACGTTTGCAAATATTACTATGGAGCAGAATTCGTCTGGAGCAGAATGGTAAAAAGAAAATAACCGTATGAATGCTATTTACGTTTGAATAAATAAGAATAAGAATTAAGAAGATTACGTTTGAAAAAGATAAATATTGCAGATTTTTAGGGATTTAATTTGCAATCAAAATAAACAAACTTTCAAAATTAATGCGTGTTTTTCGAATCTGAAGATTGATTAACATATTTGTTTGCAGATTTTTCCGGAATTATTGAATTTGGATTGTATGGCATTTACGTAAATATAGATGAATAAAATGAGCGGGAAAACTCTATTTTGGAGGTCTTATAGATTGACACGTGGCAGAGTTCTACTTATTTATTAGAATTAGGATACTT